CCACCTTAGGTGTACGTGGCTGGCGCCTTAGCCAGTTGAGCCATAGGCGCTGAGCCTAACCATTTATATTTTAAAAGCAGTAGCCTGTAGAATTTGTGCCCTCAGTTGTGGTTGCTTGCACTCCAGAGGCACTGTGGCACTGTCAGCGTGACCTCCCCAAGTCGTGTGCTGATAGACATCAGACTCAGTGTCCACTTTGATTGAAGTCCATTATTAACTCAAGCCATCTATAAAAAAGTATCTCCCCATAACATGCAATTCCCTCCTCATACTGCCTTTTATTTGGGGAGATGATGTACCAAGGCATTACTGCGTTTCCTTTAATATAAACATAATGAAGGAGAAAACATTCCAAAAACACCTTCATTTACTTCACTCTTCTAAAAAATGGGGTGAATTACAGGCTGAAAGTTTGGTCTCCTGCTGAATTCTAGTCCTCTCAAGGCAAATACTCCTAAAGTTGAAGCAGAATTTTAATCAAATGAGTTGTTTTTACGGGCTGGGATTTGAGGGGGGAAAAGAAATAGTTGGTAATTAAAATGATCTTAATTTAACATGGGGTGGGGTTGTGCAGACCACATTTAGACCTGAATAATGTTTCTGCTCCATACCCACTACTCTGTGTGTGTGTGTGTGTGTATGTGTACATATTCTCTAAAGAAGGGATTTGCTTTTATAAAAAACAAGACACAAAAAAAAATCTTTGCTATCAGAATTTCATTCAACACTCCATGTTTACCTATCCCAAGCTGTAAAATCTCCTCTGTTCGGCAAAACTGAAAAGAAGCCCTATTTTTTGTCTGGAAGCTGTGGACATCTGGGTGTTAACTGAGGCCACAGGCAGAGACAGATCTGCCTGAGTGGCAGAGGGATGTGTGCCAGGCATCAAGAGCTCCTATGGGTATAGGTGAAGCAGGGACATACTGAAGCCCAGTCACCTCCCACTAGTAGATTTATGGAAGGCACACAGCAGCCTGTCCCCAGCAGTAATTTCTTTAGGACCCTGGTCAGTTCCAAAGAAGTTTCCTTCCTGAGTTAGGTGAACACATTATTAATCCTTTTAGTGTTGTGAAGTTGAAGGCACACGCCTGGCTCTTCTGTAAATGATGTTTAAGCACGTTGTACGTGATGGGTCAGGGAGACAGGTTGGCTGAGGTCCCACATCTGCAGCTTTCCAGGACCAGAGGGAGAATTCTGGCATGGTTTTTCACTTCCCATTAAAAACAACGCTGGTGCCTATCCCCCCGCCCCCCAGTCACCTCCACAAGTACCATTATCTTAGAGTTTTATGTCCTCTCTGAATAATGTCTCCGACATGGACTTGAGGTGAAGGTGTTTATCGTATCTTAGCCTGCTGGACTTGGCATGAATAGAGGTGTAAAAGCTACAGGAATCCCTCCTTCCAAATTTGGGTTTCTATGCTTTGTGTCTTTATTGTCTGTAAGTTTGTGTTTACATGGACCCTATAGCTGTGTATCTAATAGGAATTTAAAATATTAAGGCTGTGTTCCATTCCTAAAAATAATCTATGAAGGCCCTTTTATTTGCCTGAGACTTAAGGATTTTCATAGCCCTCTCTTCCACCACAAACCCTCCTCTTCTTTTCAGTTGTTCTCATTTCTTGTTCATTGAATTGCATTTGTAAAGGTAAAGACCCCAAGAGCTACTTCCAATACTCATCTGCTCAGTGACTAGTCCAGAGCTGTGCTCAAACAGGCAAGGGTTGTGTGGCTGCTGCCTTCCCTAAATTCCTTTGTAGGAACAAGATTCTAGGGACTCCTTTTTGGCCACAAGAAAATGTTGTGTTTTCTTAGTGTAAGATTGATTGCTGAAAACCAAGAGGCCCATGCTGTATAAGAATGGCAATTTGGAAGAAAAACCCATGACCTCAATGTTATGCTACTTGTTGGTAATCCAGCTCTGACTCCCAAGACACTGTCTGCAAGAGACTATAATTTAAAACAAAGTTGATGAACCAGTTGAGTGCCTTTTTTAAAATTGCTGCTGTAAAGTGGATATGTTGAAAATATCAACTGCTAATTATTGGCTCACAAACAAATGGCATTATTTGTTTTTCTTGTCTATCCCTTTAATATTATAGAATAACTACTCAAATCTGAATGTCAAATGATTTGCCTGTCATACACATTAATTCCATGAATTTTCCAAATGAATTAAGTTCACAATAAGCCTCTGAGTAAGTCTACTTAAGCTATAAATATGTATTTTTTATCTCAAGACTACTCTGAGATATCCTGTCCCCCATTGTTGTGCTGCCAACAAATACCAATAATTATGAACTGTTATTAAAAGGGCAGATAGATGTAAATGAAGGCAGAGGAGGAGATGAACATCTGCTTTTTTCAGCTCTCTGACAGAAATTCATAAAGAACCAAAAATAACACTCTTGTTTCAACTTGTGTTAGGTGTAGGAAATTTTCTTTTTTTCTCTTTTCAGTCTGAGTATGCTCCATCGACTTTTATATTGAATACTAAATTGTTTTAGAAGAGGAAATTTGCAGATAAGAAACTGACATGTGACAAGATGGGTCTATCCTAACCATCTAGATGTGCTTATATCCCATATCCATTCACCCAGAGGTTTAAATTCTTGGTGAGATTTAAAGAGGAACTGGCATATAGTCATGTCATTACCACAATCTTAGATTCCACTGTGAACAGTCTGTAAACGTCGATTGATTCACATGTTTGGGTCTGCCGTTTCAAGTACACAGTTACACAGGAGCCACCAAGGATAATAAAACCTGGAAAAGAAAAGTCTCTTACCCTTCCCTGCCTTCTTGGTCCATTTCAGTAAGGAGTTATTTGCAGGCTGTTTCTAAGGCGAAGGAAATAAAAATGGGAAAGCCAGAGAATACAAATCAAAACATAATTGCAACACTGCAAAAGATTGTAAAGGACAGCTCACAGAGGAATTCTTTTGAATAGTGATGAATTACTTCCTGATTCACGGTTGGTGATTTTTTTTTTTTTTTTTAACTCCCCTCAACAAAAGACACTTCTGATTAAAAAGGAACTGGCAATCGTTATTTAGCAAGGCCCTACAAAGTCAAAACGTGTGATGCAGCTTGTCTGAAAAGGTACATTTCCTCAGATCCTCGTCCCCACAGGTCTCCTCCGTATAAACACCATTTCAAAGGAGGACTTTTGACCACTGTGGAGGGGAAGATGCTAGAGAAGAACAGAGACACTTGAAAGGTCTTTCTCCTGTTAAAGAGAATGTACAAGCTATTAAAAAAAAAAGAAGAAGAAAAAAAAAACCTCTTCTGGAATAAAAAAAAAACATGATGCATTTGGTTTCTGGTTCCTTAGGCCACTGTGGAACAACCAAAGAACATTATTTTGGTTTCTGAGGTTAAAACTGCTTTACTCCCCTCGGGCACACTGTATTTTTGGTTTGAGGGAGAAAGAGAATTAGGAAACTGAGAACAGGCTGACATACTCTAATCCAGCGGTTCTCAACCTGTGGGTCGCAACCCACAGGAACTCTATTAAATAAAGAGCCATGCATTAGGAAGGTTGAGAACCACTGGTCTAATCCTGACTCTTTAACTTTGCAGTACCCTGTTCTGATTTTACAACAGAATGGTTTTCCTCTATTCTTCCAGCATAAACATTAACAATAAAGGCAAAGGACCCTCAGTATTTGAGTGCTTGGTTTGAGTATTTGCTTATGATTTTAAACTTTAAAAGATCATCCTCAGATAGAGCTGGCTGTTAATTATGTAGGCACCGTTAATATATGTCCTCTATATCGAATTTTTTTTTTATCATTGGTTGTATTACCACCTGGCAGTTCGATTTGTTGAAATAAAAAGATTGGTTAACATTTTACAGTGAAAGTAATTGTCCCCTGTATTGTACCCTCTTAGGTTATCGGAGTGGTGAGTAAAGAATATATACCAAAGGGAACGCGTTTTGGACCCCTAATAGGTGAAATCTACACCAACGACACAGTTCCCAAGAATGCCAACAGGAAATACTTTTGGCGGGTAAGTAAAGAAAATTTTTCCAGATTCATTAAGTATTGGGCGGAAAAATGAAGCTAGGAGAGTTGGATCACTTCCTTTTTCTACCTGTGCTGAGAAATGCTGAGGCTTAACCAACAAAAGTGTCCAGGGTCCCCATGGACACAGAGCATTCGGAGCAAATGGTATGGAACCAGTTAAATACTGGGCCCTGGAAATACAGCCTGTAGGTGGTGAGTGATGGAGCTCGGAATTCTATGTGAATCTTGATTTAGAACTTTGTGATGAAAGGAAACAGTTTGCTGCTGGCTTCAAGGGTAGGTAGATTCATTTGCATTTCTCTGCAAGGAAGTAGTAATGAGTCACCAAGCCTTAGATTTCACCCCTTCTTGATTTCTTGCTGAGTTAACTTTAATTGAATGGAAGAGTTATCACAAGTGAATTATCTCGAAAGTAAGTGCCATTAGAGAAGGATGAGTGGAAGAGGGGGCTGGGCAATGGATGAGGAGCAGAGGACTGGCCCTATTTAAATGCATCCACACCATGAAACTTCCACCTTGGACAATATCAGGGAAAATGCTTACAGTCATGTGAGATAATGAGCTTTCCTGTGACATTGCCCCGAGAGGTCTGTCCAGTACCATTTCCTCTGTAATATCAGCATTAGAGAGGACCCCAGAGGTGTACTAATTAGATGGAATCATTGAGTAAACAGTGAACAGAGAAAAGGTAACGCTTTCCCCCTTCCCAGAGGTGTCTCTGGGACATACAGTTTCCTCAATTAGAAAATGATCATATGCTTGCTTAAATTTAGTAAAGATTTTAATGCCTACTTATTTAAAGTCTTTTTTAAAAAAAATAGCTGTCTGGTAACAACAAAAACTGTATTATGCTTGCTTTGGTTGGCATTTTTGCCTAGTTATATATCATTTGGACAAGGATCATAAAAGACTTCTCTTAGTGAACCACTTAGAAGCTATTTCTGAGGAATAATTTTTCTTAATCCAGTAAGTTTTGTGTTCTTAAAATTTTATTTTACTGTTACAACCAAGCAGAGAGCAGTTGTAGATTCACTAAGAATTGTGTGCTCAAAATTTTTATTTACTAACCACTATGTTTAAAATATATTCACCATGCACGGCTCGGCACCTGTAGCTCAGCCACATACACCAGAACTAGCAGGTTCAACTCTAGCCTGGGCCTGCTAAACAACAATGATAACTATAACCTAAAAAATAAAATAAAATAAGCATCGTGGCGGGTGCCTGTAGTCCCAGCTACTTGGGAGGCTGAGGAAGAGAATCGCTTAAGCCCAGGAGTTAGAGATTGCTGTGAGCTGTGATGCCATGGCACTCTACCCACGGTGACAGCTTGAGGCTCTGTCTCAAAATATATATATATTTCACCACATGACTTACAATAGAGAAAACATAAATGTATTTTTGCCTTTATTGCCAATAAATTCTTCTCGAAAGTGAGCTACAGAGGTGTACAATTCTTGGTATCAAAGGTCTGAATTAGGACAGTCCAATATAGGTCTTGTTAATGAATGGACATTTTATAAAAAGGCAAGAAATACCTCAGAATCTCCCCTCACTGCCCCAGTTCCCTGTTTGATTTAGAGATCCAGCATGAGTAACTTTTCAGGCTTTCCTTGGGAGGATTTATTTGAATCACTCTTTCACATTTAAAGGATATTATTATAGGAGATCACTTTCCACGTGCTGTTAAAAGCATCCTGATTTTGCTGGCAGGGATATGAACATCTGTTGTGAGGAAAGAAAAAGTTTCATGCAAATTACACAAAGGAGAGAAGGGGGGTTCAAGTTGAGAAAGCAGTGACATTTCTTGTAACTGTACTGTGAGTCAGCACATTTTTAATCTTCTAGATAGTATATGGAAATGCAGTGAGGTGGTAGGGAACAGTGCATTGTACGTATGCATTATTTTATTTTCTGGTGGGGGTGTGTGTGTGACTTCATGGCATCGACATTTCTGTTTTTAAATGAGGATACAGTAAACTGTAGTCCGTGGAAGACTGACTGGAATCAACATACCCGTAGCTTTAGAAAGCAGTTTCCGCCCGGCAAAGAGTGCAAGAGCAATGGAACCCCGTGTTCCTGGAAGTTTGCACATCAGAGTAAACAAACTTGAAAACCCCTCTTGATAGCAGAATTCACCCAGCCTTGTTCCATTTTCTCTTAACAAAACACACCGCAAAAGCTCTCACAAGCTGCTTTGATGAAGCCACATGTATTTCCCCCTTCACAATTTACAGGAAGTTGCTCTTAAAAGAAAGTGATTCTGGTGTTTACTGCCCGTGTTAAAGGGACAGAGTTCCCTTTTTTATTTCTGATAATGTTTGAACGAAACACAGAAAGGATTTATAGACTAGCATAGTATGTGAGTTCGAATAAAGCAATGACTTGCTGTCTTCTTAGAGCAAAATCTGAGCTAGGAGCAGTGCCCTCCTACCTGGAGACCATTGCGTTTCAGATAACCAGGTGCTGGATGTAGAAGGACATCCTTAAAGTCTGAAGCTCTTAAAAGAGGCTGCCTTCTAAAAGAGGGAGAGAGAAACTTCTGTGGAACGGATACTGAGTTGGTTACAAAGTAGTTTCAGGAAGAGTGTATGTTTTAATTTTTTCCTATTCTTTCTTTAACTCTGCTTTTTTACCAAGTGGCCTGAATGCATCTGTTAATCAGAATTAGTGTTACTCTCAGGACAGACTCCAAATCTGAATTCTTCATTACGTTGCCTTTAAGGAAGAACATGCTTTCTTCCTGTTCTTTTCCAAAAGCGCACGCCTGTGGCTGCGAGCGTGGTGTTTAGCCAACCTGCTTGCAGATAAGAGGGCTCTCTCCTCCCTCTGGCTTGCAGGAAAAGCACAAGGCTGAACATGTTTTTATCACGAGGAAAAGTGACTGCTCAGTAGACTGTCAATTCTGGCCGCCTTCCCGGTGTTCACTTTGTTATGGCAGGTGAAGTTCACCTTTGCCCCACCCAATGTTTCCACAAAAAGGCAAGGTTCCAAGTATTCGTATGAGCAAGTGTTACTGTAGGACTTGGAGGGTTGGGGGTGGAGGATGTTTGCATAGTTTAAGCCTTGGGCGGGGGTGTAGGAAATGGCAAGTACAGAGGCCGTAGAAAAGGTTGAGAGACTTTAGTTTGACGTAGTCAGTCGCCTTGGTCTTCTACCCGGTGACTCAAAGCACTAAAAGTTATCATCATCGGAACTGAAGTCAGTAGCATCGCCCGTTTGCCATTCACTGCTGTAGCCAAAGCAGTACTCGGTGGTGGGTGAATCGGTTTGAGGCAGCTCCTTAAATGAAAATTTGTGTTTCGTTCTTCTGTTATCTTTCCCGAACGGGAAAAAGACGATAAAGCTGAAATGGAAAAGGTAACTGACAGCGTGTGCCTTACCTGTTTCCACCCCTGTTTCTGCTGATTCCAAACCACTCCGACGAAACTGATTGGATTCTCTTGCTAACTAGGCAATAGGGGATCAGAAATCACACACAGGACAGGCTGTGTTTATTCTGAGACGTGCCGGGAAGCTTTTTATGACTTTGGGGCTGCCTTCCTCTCACCTGTCTGTCTTCTCTTTTGGACAGATCTATTCCAGAGGGGAGCTTCACCACTTCATAGATGGCTTTAATGAGGAGAAGAGCAACTGGATGCGCTATGTGAACCCAGCGCACTCTGCCCGGGAGCAAAACCTGGCTGCGTGTCAGAACGGCATGAACATCTACTTCTACACCATTAAGCCCATCCCTGCCAACCAGGAACTTCTTGTGTGGTATTGTCGGGACTTTGCAGAGCGGCTTCACTACCCTTATCCCGGAGAGCTGACAATGATGAATCTCAGTAAGTGGATTACAGAATAAAAAACTAAAAATGCCAGTAATGTCAGTTCTGCCCCCATGAGCTAATGACATGTTGTTTAATTATATGGCTTCATCATCTGTTGGCCCAAGTAGGAGGCTAAAACTAGGGACTAGGAAGAGGAAAAACATTTTTTTTAAATCCCTATTCTCTATTATGAAACTTGATCACTATATACATATATATATACTAAGGCCTACTTTGACTGTTTGATTCAGAAAGAAGTATATATCCACTTCTAATTTATCCAACAGGAGGTGGTTGGGAGTATAATGGGGCTTGGTCCAGAGATGCCAAGTGTGCGGGGCATAGCCCCCATGTCTGTGGTATTTTCTCAGTGTTTAAAATAGGCATTGAAATATTGTAGAAATGTGCATTTGAATATAAAGTTATGGGGTAATGTGGAACAATATGTAATTGTTTCTAGAAAAACTGTCATAATTTCTTAAATATTACTCTAAACGAATAACCCTAAAGATTTCGTACCTTTGCTTCCTTCCTTATGGTAAACTAATTATCTGATCTCCTGATCAGTGTTACAGTAGCCACCTATCACTTTATCTTAACAGATTCTCAGTTCCTTAGGTTTATATGCTTTTACTTTTTCTGTTTGGTTAAAATTGCTGTCATAACCTCTTTCTACAAAGGGCTATTTCATTTTAGTCATTTTCAAGTGATCTCTGTGAGCAACATAGGGATTACTATGAAAAAAAAATTACCATGAAATTCTAACCTCTGTTGTGACTGTGGTTGTGTGTGTACACTCCCCAATTTTGTAGCACTTTTTAAGATTAGCTCCTTTTTGTTCAAATAAAATTTAAAACTAAATGCTGAAATGTCGATAACTTGTTTTGATAGCATTTCAAACGCCAAGGAAAAATTTAAAGAATTCCTCTGTGCCCTTTACCCGTGTTCACCATTTGGTAATGGTGATATGCTGTCTATTTGCTTTATCTGAAAGCTACATTGCTTTAGTTCAAATTGTCTCCCTTTGTAATATTTGGAATAAATATGAATTTTAACGTAAGTTAGAATTTTGACTTCAAATTTAAGGCCAATTAAACCCAGGACTTATTTTAGTAATTTCTAATCTAACTATACAGCTGTTTGGAATTCATTCCACACTTTACTTGATCTCCCTGAAGATCTCAAGGCTGTATTTGCAGTTTGCTAAAAAAATCTGGGGCATCTATACATGTAAAAGTTTCAGGACCTCCCCCTTTGGGTCCTATTTTAAGAGTTGTGTTCACAGTGCACCCTTGGACTTCAGGAAAAGATCTTGGCATGTTGGAAAACAACCTGGCTTCTAGTTTGAGCATGATATGGGTATAATCAAGTTGTGACCAAAGGTGGCAGCTTTTTCCCCTGATCTCTGTCTTCCTTGGCCCTCCTTGAGACTCTCTTTTGTGTCCCCAAGGCCTAGCATCCCCACAGGCACTAGGCTCTTTTGGCATCTGTGCACTCACCAGGCCTAGGGCCTGGCAGTAAAAGACACTTGGCACAGTCACATTTTCCTGGAACCTCAATTCCAGCTGGGCCTCTCATGGGAAGATGCCCTGCTCCTTCCTAACCGCCTCAGCATAGCGAGCAGCTTCCTTTAGAGGGGCTCCTTACAATCCTTGAGTTTAATCGTTCACAGATTCGGAGCAAGTCTTTGATTTTTGTTGTTCTTTAAACTTAGTCCATCTGAGGTGACCCAGCCCAGTGACTTTGCGCCAACCAAGAACAAACTTTTTCATGTGCTTTCCCTACTCTGTGGCAATCAAAGAAAAGGTTTTAAGGCCTGGCATTTTCATTCTCCAGGGAAAAGACTTTACCGAACGTCTCAGTATTTTAAGATTCAAGTGTTTATTTTTTGTGTTCAGAAGCAACTTTCTTATATATGATGAAATGACACCTTTTTTCCCTCAACTGTCCCCTTTACTTTGTGCAGCATGTTTTCTAAATGGTGGTTCACCATGTTCAGTCCCCTTTCATTGTTCAATATTCGTAGTAAAGGAGAGTTAACAATACATAACCAGTTCCTTTGAAACAAGACTCTTGCTGTGGATTGTGAAACCAGTACCAGTTGCCTTGGGTGTGGCAGCTGATGATTGAGACTCTGATCAGGAAAATTTCTACTATTTCATCAGGCCTAAGAGGTAGATTGTGTCTCCATATGAGTTCTGGTGGGTTTCCATGCCAGCATTTCTGTGAAGGCTTAAATGGCAGTGATGGTTCAATTAACAGAAGGGATTTGAGTAAAGAAAAGTTAAGTAGCCAGAAATCACAAACTGACATTTTTCTAAAAACAAAACAAACAGAGTAACAGAACTCATAGTTAATACCTTTCCCTCCCCATTTGGGGGGTATTTTTTTTTCCTATCTATCTAACTAACCCATCTAGAAAACAGTTGACCAAATTATAGACTTCTAAATGTTAATCTGCTTTCTCAGTTTCAGTTGAAAACAGACTTTGTTTTGCCTACTGCAGAACTTCTAGGTTCTTTCTTGTAGTCTTGGGGTTCTTATTATAGATCGAAAATGTGAGTCGGCATAATTAAGCCATTCAGAGGCTTTAGAAGCAGTTCACTCTTGAAATGAGTCTGTCCGCCTACAGCCATTTAAGATTTAAGAACAAAAACAGATCTTGATTTTCTTTTTCATGTTAACTCAAGCTGCTGCTGAAGTGGAGAGTCAGAAATGACACCAGCTCCACTGATTACTCAGCTGCTGAAGGATGATTTTTTAAAATGTACCTCTACTAGATACAGATTTTAGAATTTCCTCCCTGTAAAACATCTCAGGGAGACTCATGTTTTGTTCTGGATATTCTTTTAGAAAACGATGTAACTCTGTTTTTCTCAGGGCATTAGAAATGGCCAACACTTGTTACGGATTTCCTTACTATATATTGGGCAGTATGCGAAGTATTTTCCTTTGGAATTTAAAATTCTGACCTTATTATCTGTTGGCCCGGTCATTAGCTTTGTATTAGTACAATAATCAAATTATATTAGGGTGCTTAAGAGGAATGTTTACCTGGCTAAATGTGAGGGCCGTGCTATGGCTGAACTTGAAGAGCTAAGCCTGCAACTTCAGTTTGTTGAGTTTTGGAACCAAGAGAGTATTGAAGCCACTGGAAAAATGATGAGACCTAGGTGTCATTTGTCACATAAAAAGGGCACAGAGTTATGACAGTAAAGTTTCTATATTTTTATTTTATTAGGGGGGCATCTTTTTAAAAAAAATTCATTATTAATTGGAGCCTGTATGGATGCTTCCGAATTACTTGTTTCACCTCCATAAAATTCCTTCCCATGGCTGTGAGATGCCTTGCCTATCAGTTTTTCTAGCTAAGTTGTCTCTCTCTTCCTTTACCATTTCAGCTTTTAAAAAACAAAAGTGACAATTTGAACTTCCTGCCTGCTGGGCCTCACTGAAAGACCGATATTGGCCTGATAAGGAGATATTTATTTTGGTTTAGTGGCTTCAGAAATCCCTCTCCCTCAACAAGCTTTCCATCACTGCCCCCTGATCGGCATTCTCCCTGATAGCGTTGTTCTCTGTGTTTATTCTGGGGCTTCGGGCTCCCCGGAGAGTAACTGATAACAGGCCACAAGAGATAACATTCTCTGAGGGGCTCTCAACCTGGAATTGAATCCCTCACGCCTGTCAGCCTAGAGAATGGATTTGAAGGGTTCATTTCTGGAGTTTCACGGGGTTCATTTCTACACCTATCAGATAGCAAGCCTGGAGTTCTTTCTCAATTAAGTCAAGCAGGGACATTTCTAAGTCAAGCAGACGATGAAAGATACTTGTGCAAAGCCTCCGGCGTGATCTCCAACCTGCCAGGTCTCCTAATACTGAGGCCAAGCGCTCCACCAGCTCTGAAGGCCCCTCCCTACACCCATAGCCGATGCCTTCAGCCTACCCTAGGGCAAGTGTCCCGGCAAGGTGATTGCTCTCGGATAACCAGAGATCAAACTGAGTATCACATGTTTTACTTTTGGTTTCCAGGGAAGGCTGAGTAGGGAGTTTTTGGTTTTCCCTGCTCAGGCTCGTGTTTTCCCAAAGACATCATTTATTTTGAGTGTTCGGGAAGGAGGACTGGCAGTAGCAGAGAGAGACTGGGACTGTCCTCACTGCTGCTGTGTTTAAATAGTATATTTCCCAAGTAATAATACGCCGTCTTTGGAAATAAATGCTTTCCTCTTAGCTTCCTCTGTTTTCTTTGGTGCTCTAAGTAATTGAACTGGCTCGGGAAGTACCTGTTGTGGTTTGGCAGAGGTGACTGTCACACCTTGTGATTCCAGGGGCCAGCACTGCTGGGAGCCTGGTTAGACCAGAAACAGAGCCTTGGTGAAATGTTCCTGCTGTCTGCCTACAAACTTGTGGGTCAGGGCTGGCGTCTACATTACTCGCCTCCTTGGCCTGGACAGTTTGAACAGGGTTTTATCAAATTCGTATTAATCGAAGTGAAAATTGATGAATGTTTATTACTTGAAATGAGTCTTAATCTCTCACATCTCATGCGCTGGGTGCTGATTTCCTTCAGGCAAACTGTGAACATCACAATGACTTTTTTTTTTTTTTTTGGCAGTTTTTGGCCAGTGCTGGGTTTGAACTGGCCACCCACCACCGGCATATGGGGCCGGGGCCTTACTCCTTTCAGCCACAGGCACCGCCGGCATCACAGTGACTTTTATTACCCTGTGAGAATCCTCCAGCCAGTAGTTTGCACTCCATTTTAATGGAAGCTCTCTTGTTCCAGGGCAAATAGCACTCTAATGTCCTAAAGTCTGTGCTGATGGAAACAAAATCATCTAAACTTCTCTTGATGCTGCGTGGTTCCATGCAGCTGAGAGGGAAGCTAAGGCACTTTTGAGCGAGTGGCCCAGAGCCCTCCAGAATGAGAGGGCGTTAGGGCCAGATGTTGGCCCTTGTGTCGCCCGCCAGCTGGTGCTCACGTTTTCTCAAGAAGTGCAAACAATTTAGCATTATGCTCCAGTCCCCTCCAGCCCTCTGAGTAATCGCCCTTCCTTCTTTTTTTTTTTTTTTTTTTTCAGCACAAACGCAGAGCAATCCAAAGCTACAGGGCACCGAGAAAAATGAACTTTGCCCAAAGAATGTCCCGAAGAGAGAGTACAGCGTGAAAGAGATCCTCAAACTGGACTCCAACCCCGCCAAGGGAAAGGACTTCTATCCTGCTAACATTTCACCCTTCACGTCGGAAAAGGACATGAACGACTTCAGAAAAAATGGGAGCCCCGAAATGCCCTTCTACCCTCGGGTCGTCTACCCCGTCCGGGCCCCTCTGCCCGAAGAGTTTTTGAAAGCTTCCCTGCCCTACCGGATGGAGAGACCAACCTACATCACTCAGGCCTCCCTGCCGTCCTCCACCACTCCCAGTCCCTCCGCAAGAAGCAGCCCTGACCAAAGCCTCAAAAGCTCCAGCCCCCACGGCAGCCCCGGGAACACGGTGTCCCCTGCGGCTCCGGGCGCGCAGGACCCCCGGGACGCCTACGCGTACTTGAACGCGCCCTACGGCCCCGAGGGCTTGGGCTCCTACCCTGGATACGCGCCCCTGCCCCACCTCCCGCCGGCTTTCATCCCCTCTTACAATGCTCACTACCCCAAGTTCCTCTTGCCCCCCTACGGCATGAATTGTAACGGCCTGGGCACGGTGAGCGGCGTCAACGGCATCAACAACTTCGGCCTCTTCCCCAGGCTGTGCCCGGTCTACGGTAACCTCCTGGGAGGGGGCGGCCTGCCGCACCCCATGCTCAGCCCGGCTTCCCTCCCGAGCTCGCTGCCTTCCGACGGGGCCCGGAGGCTGCTGCAGCCGGAGCACCCCCGGGAGGTGCTGGTCCCCGCGCCGCACAGCGCCTTCTCCCTCACCGGGGCTGCCGCCAGCATGAAGGACAGAACCTGCAGCCCCACGAGCGGGTCTCCCACGGCGGGCACGGCCGCCTCGGCGGAGCACGTGGTGCAGCCCAAAGCTACCTCAGCGGTGATGGCAGCCCCCGGCGGCGACGAAGCCATGAATCTCATTAAAAACAAGAGGAACATGACCGGCTACAAGACGCTTCCCTACCCACTGAAGAAGCAGAACGGCAAGATCAAGTACGAATGCAATGTTTGCGCCAAGACGTTCGGCCAGCTCTCCAACCTGAAGGTAGGCCAGGCCGGGGAGAGCAGCGGGCGGGCGGGGACTCGTAGCTCCCTTTCCTGGGGTTATAAACTGCATTCCCGTCAGTATGAGACCCAGGCTGGGCAGACCGCCCGTTCTACTCTGCTTTTACCACTGCTTAGCTCTGTGTCTTTGGATAGGTTGCTTTCCCTCTCTTGAGTTTCTTCTGAATAATAAAATGTGCAGTTTAGAAGATCAGTTTAATGTCCCTGCCAGCCTGTGATTTTTGTCCTTTGAGATCAAGCAAAACAAAACATTCTAAAAACACTGGGGTTGGTTTGTTCTGTTGAAGACTTTGTCTTTGCTTCTCTTAAGATGTTTGCACCATCAGCACCCTAGTCTTTGAAAAGAAACGTCAGGCCTCCGAGCTGACGCCAGAGCAGAGCTAACACGTGTGGCTTCTTCCCAGGTCCACCTCAGAGTGCACAGTGGAGAACGGCCTTTCAAATGCCAGACTTGCAACAAGGGCTTTACTCAGCTCGCCCACCTGCAGAAACACTACCTGGTACACACGGGAGAAAAGCCACATGAATGCCAGGTGGGCAGTATTTTCTGGGTAGAACTTTTGACCTTTCAGTGCTGGTGGAGTTGCCCTCCCCTGTCATGTAGCCTGTAGTTTAAACCGACAGGAATTTAGCCTTGGCCCAGGCTGATGGCACCGTGGACCTCCCGGTGCTCTGTATCTGCTGACAAGCAGAGACACAGAACTGGACACAGCCAGTTTCCAGTGGGTGGGAAAATGATGGGGAAATAAACACCTCCTGGGGTGCAGCCCACATCCCTGAGGTTTGCTTAATACCACACCTTAGGTGCCACCGGGAGGCTTTTTGCCTCCCAGGTTGCTGGTCCATCAGCCTGTGAGCCTGTTCCCTCCCATCAGCAACTCTTAATCTTCTGGTCTTCCTGTCCCCCTGCTCTGCCCTGTCCCTCCCCCACCCTGTAGGTCTGCCACAAGCGATTTAGCAGCACCAGCAATCTCAAGACCCACCTGCGACTCCACTCTGGAGAGAAACCTTACCAGTGCAAGGTCTGCCCTGCCAAGTTCACCCAGTTCGTGCACCTGAAATTGCACAAGCGTCTACACACCCGGGAGCGGCCCCATAAGTGTGCCCAGTGCCACAAGAGCTATATCCATCTCTGCAGCCTCAAGGTCCACCTGAAGGGGAACTGCCCTATGGCCCCCGCCGCGGGGCTGGCCTCGGAGGACCTGACTCGAATTAACGAAGAAATCGAGAAGTTTGACATCAGTGACAATGCCGACCGGCTGGATGACGTAGAGGACGACATCGATGTCACCTCTGTGGTGGAGAAAGAAATTCTGGCCGTGGTCAGAAAAGAGAAAGAAGAAACTGGTCTGAAAGTATCTTTGCAAAGAAACCTGGGGAATGGACTCCTCTCCCCCGGGTGTGGCCTTTATGAGTCATCAGACCTTTCCCTCACGAAGCTGCCTCCCAGCAACCCACTACCTCTGGTACCTGTAAAGGTCAAACAAGAAACAGTAGAACCAATGGATCCTTAAGATTTTTCAGACGAGTGTTTTGTTTCTTAAGTTATGACTTGGCAAGTCAGGGTGCCTGTAGCAAATGGCTCATACCTAATTCCAGTTCTGCAAAGCTCTCCTGACGTGTGGTTTCCCCTCACCTCTCTGGAATTAAAGAAGGAACTCCAAAGTTACTGAAATCTCAGGGCATGAACAAGGGAAAGACTATATACATATATATATATATATATATACATATTATATATACTTATTTACACCCATGTCTATATATTTGAAGCTGTGTATTTTGAATATTTGTGTGGATGTGTTTCCATAGCCTTCTCATTACTAAGACTATTGCCTAGCCATAATTATTTTTTCAATGGTAATCCTTCCTAATTTATTATACAGTTTATCATTCGAAAAGCAATAATTAAAAAAGTTTACAATGACTGGAAAGATTCCTTGTAATTTGAGTATATACATTGTTGTATTTTTATGCTGTGGCCATTCTTTGTAGATAATTTCTGCACATCTGTCAAAATACCTAAGATTTGGTAAAGGAATACACGACTTCAGTCAACCTCTCTCTGTAATAATGGTTTGAAAATGAGGTTTTGGTATTGCCAAAGTTAGACAGTTGATGTGTTAATAGGATCACATGCATCATTTGACCAGCATTGTCAAAGGGAATATTGAGTATTTTTGTTGATAGTTCATTGTTCCCCTGCAGTTTTACCCGGAAGGCGACAGGAAGGCTTTGCCTACCTCCCTTTCTCTAGAAGAGCAGGGTCCTCTCACACAACCCCCAAAGTCCTGTGACCATCGGAGTAGCCGCGTGACTTTTGCATCCAGATGTGTGTTAGCTGAAAATGTGAAGGTGACAAAATGCCAGGTCTGGAACCACTGTGCTGGCCTTCCCGAAGCACAGCGGTCCCGTGCGTGGGAGGTCTGTGGGCTTGCATCTGGGTGTTGTCTTGTTGTTGGTTTTTGTTTTTAGAATGTCAAAATTGCACAGACCTGGTGCTCTACCAAGAAGGATTTGAGGTAGATAGGCTCAGGCCACACTTTCAAAGCAAATTTAAAAAACGGGTATTCGGGTCATCTTGGGGTAAGAGCAGGTAATGAACATTCCTATCCCCAACACATCAATTGTATCTTTTTTCTGTAAAACTCAGATTTTCTCAGTATTTGTGTTTTTACATTTTACGGTTAATTTAATTGAAGTTGAAAGGGCATTGCAAAGTTGTTTGACAACAATTACCTCATTGAGTATGTACAGCAGTGCAGGAAATGATGTCTTATCTAATGATTTGCTACTCTGGAGGAGAAGCCAAGTAAGTGTGCTATGGAAAGATAGACTGCGTGTTATTCTATCTTTTACTCTGCTAAGCCCAAAGATTACATGTTGGCATTTAAGGTGTAGCAAAGAATGATGTATATTTATAAATCTATTTATACCACTCTACCATGTGTATATATAATATATTTATAACCACTTACATTGTGAGCCAAGCCATGTAAAAGAACCTACTTTTCCTAAGGGCAGAAAAAAAAAAATACCCAGAAAACAAACAAAAAAAACTTCTCTGAGACTTTGCTTAATACTTGATGACTTCACAGGCACTTCGGTATGCCTGGGCACTCCTTGCCTATTGTAAGAGACCCTAAAACCTTGGTGCAAAGGTGGGGACCACATAACAACCAGGGAGAAAGAGATGCATTGTTTTTTATTATTAAGGACCACCTAAGACAGCTATGGTTTTGTTCTGCCACGTTATGATTATGTGGTCATACCCAAGTCACAGAAAGAAAAATCCCTTTATTCCTTTACCACCACAACTTTGCTCTCTTCTTCTCTCTCCTTCCTAAATACTGATAGTGATCTGTGTTATAACTGTACTTGACATTTCATTGATGTCAATTGATATGCACCTGCAGAAGAGAACAAATTTGAATAATCCAGGGAAAACCTGACAGCCTTACTGATCTGTAACTAGCAAGACTGACAACTTTTTAGATATCAGTGTTTGATGATCAGTCCCTAATGAGAGATAAGCCGAATCATCCCATCAACACTGACACCAGATACTACTTATTCCCAACTACTCATTGGTTCTTTTTCTCCTTTTGTGTTTTCTCATACTGTGTTTGAGAATTTGGATGAAGACTTCTTGCTTCTCTCACCACCCTCTTTCCCGTTTTGGCTTCTTACATGTGAATGTTGAGCCCACAATCAACAAGTGGTTTTATTTTTGTCTTCTACTCAAAGTTAAAACTGACCAAAGTTATTGGCTTTTTACTTTGCTAGAACAACAGACTATCTTATGTTTACAGACTGGTTTACATTGTTATTTATGTGCAAATTGTCAAAATGTAAATTAAATATAAATGTTCATGCTTTACCAATGCTGTCTAATGTCTTGAGTGAAGGGCCAACAAATAGCATCTTACTCGCCCTGCAAGATGCCAGGGCACAAGTCACCTCTTCACCCTCCACCCCTATTGTGTTGTCAGCAGGCACTGTGACACCATGCTCTCCCCCACCTCCCTCAGGGACTGTGCTTGTGAGGGATATAACATCGTTGATATGTTGTCTCATAACTCAGCAGTATAAGATTTTTCTTTAATTTGAAATATAAAAGTATGCTCTTTATAAAAGCATTTCAAGCATTAGCAGATAAGTGGGGGAAGATTTGTTTGCTTTTGTTGGACTGTTCTGTTTTGTTGATGGATAGGGGGTGGTGAAGGGGTAAAGAAGACTCAAATCAATTCCAGAAATGCCTTCCCAGCTTGTCCCAGTATGTGTGTGTGTGAAGAAATTCTGTCCACTATGGGTAAGGGGCCCAAGGAAGTTGGGTGCAAGAACATCTTGCCCATCGGTGATGTTGGGGAATGCCCCATATCCCATTTACCCCCTTCCCTTTAACTTGTGCATATAAAAAAAATTTTTCTAGAAATCTGTCTTACCAGAACCTGGACAGTTAGGGTGAAACCCAGGGATTATAGTGACCATGTGGCCCCATACAGTGAGAAGTCTACTTGCTTATCCATTGATGCTCTAGAAACTTAACCTGTCTCCAGAGCAAAGGCAGAGAAATTTGAGTCTCATTGGACAGGTATGAGTAGGAGGATGCTTCTAGAAAAGTGATAGCACCCTTAGTAGAAAATAAAAAATTTTTAAAAACGCCCTTTGTAAATGGTTTTCCTGCTTCCCATTTTATACATTATCAGGTTCATGGTTTCCAGCCCATGCTAGCTGCATGTTAAGAAAATAACGCTTCGTCTTACACTTGGACATTCAAAACTACTTGCTGTTATGTTTTGTTTTTAATGTTCTTTAAATTCATTTAAACATCTGTGCCAGGGATTTGAAATGCTGCCAACATGTAACTGTGGAGTTAAGAAAACCAGAACCCTATTGTCATAAACTTGCCAAATGGTGCTGGTTATACTCCTAAATTCTACAGAACCATTGTGATAATAATTTTTCAAAACAAAGCTCAGTAAGATCTAGAGTGTAACAGTTACTACCATAAGTTATAGTTCTTTCCTTGGCCAGTCATGTCTTTTTTTTTCTTGAGAGTTGCATAGGTTGGGGACACTTGTGGACTTGGCTGCTTAATGAAGCATCACATGGAAAGATAACAATCTCTAATAACCCAAGTCCAAGTCCACCCAGCCAGAGTCCAGACTGCTGGACAGAGACTTCATGAAGCTGTTTGTCTTGACAGAGAAAGACAAGAAGTCACCTTTTTCTGGTGTTTCCTTGACAAAATAACAGCTCTGTGCAGAAATGATGGATTCCATTCCTTCCTGTAACACAATGTACAGAAGTACAGTACCAATACATTTGTAGATACTTTTTCCTTAGTAGACATAAATTCAATTTAGGGCCCAAAAATGGTATAAGTGAGATGATTTCTTCCTGTCCGTGGGGTGGGGGGGGCGGGGAGGGGTTTTGATGCCTTCTCTAAAAGGAGACACTGAGAGAATGAAAGTAATTAAAGGCACAAGGCAGAGGATTTCTCACGTACACCAGGCCTCTACCATAATTTGGTCTAGAAAAAAAGGGTGTACTACCATCAGCTAAAAGCACTGATGAGTAGGAGAAAAGTTAGAATGTGGTCACTGAGCCAATCTGGAAGACACTTCTATTTCCCTTAAGAGATCATAGAGTTCTTTGTCCATAACTTACTGTTTCTTTTCTTTTTCTTCTTTTTTTTTTTTTGCAATTTTTGGCTGGGGCTGGGTTTGAACCCACCACCTCCAGCATATGGGGCCAGCGCCTTACTCCTTTGATCCACAGGCGCTACCCCATAACTTACCAATTCATCATCAGTTTCCAGATAGAAGAAATCACATCATTATGAGCACTGGCTACTTTGGAGTCCACTTCTGGGTGTACAGTGGCATAAAGAAATATTTTGGGACCTATGGATTAGCCTCCCTAACATTTTTTTTCAAGTGTCAGGTCCTCAGAACCTCCAAGTTCATTTGCTCAAAGTGCTGTTGACAGCATCTCTTTAAATAAGAGAGAACTGATTTTAATCACCATTTAACTATAATAGTGTAATTCAAGCAAAAATGCAACAAGATTTCACAAAGGGTTTATGCAAATATGTCCTCTCTATTGCCCAATTTCACAGAATACTATAACCAACCCTCTCTTGATTTGCTCTTCCTTCCAGGTTTGACACGTAAGGGACCAGAGTTAGCCGTGTACACACCTCTTTCTCTCTGAATTTAAGATAGGAGGTTTTATTCAGCATAAATAAACACAGTCATCTTGCGGTTTTTCCCCTACCCCCATCAAGAAAGAAAGGAGAAGTGACAGATAAGTACCAAAGGCTTATTTTGGTAAGAAATTCCTCAGTGCGTTAACAAAAGGGGGTTCTTCTCATGGAATTGTGGCAAAATTCCTCAACTGTAGATGTCTGGAGGACTCACCTGTGGGTGCTGGCAACCAGCTGTTCTCCAATGCAGGTGAGGAGGAGGACTAAGGAAATGAAATTAACCCACCGCAGAAGGGACTTTGATTTAAATCACCAAGACTAATGCCTGCACTTAGGGTTTGTAATACAATAAACTCCTCCTTAACATGGTGACAGAGGAGTCGGGTTTGTTTGAAAACAGGATGCCCAAGATGCTCCTGCCAGCCCTTCTTGCGCCTACAATTCAAAGGTTTCTGTCAACCTTAGGAAGGATCGCGTACATGAGACAAGAAAGATACAAGGCTTGGTAGAGAGCTTAAGCTTCTTGAACATTCCTGAGGCCTCCCAGGAAATGCCAGATAGAAACAGGTCTAGAGAGCCGTCTAGTTCTGAGAAAGAGCCTATGATCCCATGAACCGACCTGTGCTATCTATTTTGTAAAGTATTTTAACAGCTATTCCATATTTGAGTTCCCAGGGATTCTGAAACGGCGTGGTGAGGGAGACACGCCTCGCTTTGGCCTAGCATT